CGGGGCCCTCACTCAACCAAATGGAATCAGCCAAATCAGTGGTCCGAGTGAGCCCTCACCCCCCTGCCCCCACCCCAAGCCCTATAAAGCCTTTGTTCTTCCAAAACTCCGGGCTCTCTCTCTCATCCAGTAATGGAGGCAGAGGGGGACCAAGCTAGCTTGAATAAAAGACTATGCTTTTGCATTGGACTCGGCGCTCCCTGGTGGTTCTGTTGGGGGGATCTTGAAATCTGGGCATAACACAGGCATGCCTCCCGCAGACAGGAATTTGCATTCTGGAAGAGGAAATGCAACTTATGCAGCGATAACAAAGTCCCATAAAATATTTGAAGGAATTAGGGACACATCCAAAGCAGTGGAGACCTACTGACTCCATGTGTTCAACAGAGAAAACAGAAGAAAATTCAAAAATAAATGAAGTTAATAGCTTAGAGAGATTCAAGAATGCATCACATGTAGCCAATTAAAGAAACAGGCTGCTATGAAAACATAACAATTGGAAAATTTGGATATGGAAAAAAAAATCTCTCTTGAATTGGAATATGTGGCCAAGAGAATACATTGCAAAAGGAAATGGGAAATTTTACAAAAAAACTTCAGGGTCATAGGAGTAGTGAAACCAGACAACCAAGGGGTCCGGGCTGCCTGTCACTACTTGGTCCAATTCAGCAGAGACAGGGTTGAATCATATATGAGCGTTTATTCCAGTCCTGCCGGCAGGATGCGAGAGCAGCAGGGCATCCACAAAAATCTTCTCCGCACCCCCCACCTCCTCCAACCCTCCATAGACCAGCTGCTTATACAGGGTAGGACAAGGATTACATGGGGAAGTAGGGATTGCAGGCATGGGGAAGCAGGCTGTGCAGGCTGAGGTGGGACTCCATTGTTTGGGCAACAAGGTTGTTAATCTTTCCATGATAACATTTTTTTAACCAGAACAAGGCAATCACGGTTAACAGCGCATGACTAATATTTCCCATAACCATAGCTAGTCCCCAACATTCTATTTTTTTGCCCCTAACAGTAGCTATCCAAGTTCCAACATCTATGTAATGGAAATTCCCAGAGGAGAGAGCAGAGAAACTAGAGGGGGAGGGGACAGTAATAAAAGAAAGAAGAGCATTTCATACAGGTAAAGATAATGAAGGTTTTTATCCTTAGAGATGAGACAGGAGCAATGTTCCCAATATCCATCCAGGTCTTTCTTTGTGCTGGGTTTTGTAAGCAATAAATAGAAATCCCTTCGGCCATTCTCTGTCCTTCCCGGCCTCCTCATAGTTCTCTCATTTTAACAAGAAAGGAACGGAGCGATCTGAGTCTGGCATTCCTTATTTGGTCAGTTTCCCCTAACATTACGGCTCCTTCCACCCCCATCCCCACCGGAGATGACCCTTGCAGATTGAATCCAATTTTATCACCCTCAGCATCCCCGGATGCAACGGCGCGTCTGCCCTTTCATTTTGGCAGTGAACTATTTTCATTGTGTTGGTGCTGATGTACAATGAAACTTCTGTATATCACTGGAATTCCATGTGTCTTTCTAAAAACAGCAGATATGAAACTTGATATATACCTTGTATTTCAACATTTAATTGTTTGCGGGCGCTTTGGCGAGATGATTGCTATTAAGAAGTAAAACTTTTCAAATCAACTGTTTTTCATACCAGGTCTGGCGCAGTCAGGTTCCTGGGGCTGTTTTGATGAGTTTAACAGAATTGAATTGCCCGTCTTATCGGTGGCAGCCCAACAAATTTATATTGTTTTGACAGCAAGAAAAGAGAGAAAAAAGCAGTTCATCTTTTCTGATGGTGATTGTGTTGATTTAAATCCAGAATTTGGAATCTTCTTAACAATGGTGAGAACATGGGTTTTAAATGCAGTTTGGTTGGTTTAACTGCTATGGACTTAAGTAAAACAAGGCATCTACTCCTGGTTAAATGACTGACTATCCAGGGGTCAGGAGCGATTCTTTCCTATCATAGGATTTTTTTGAGTAGTAAAAATAGACAAGACAGAAGATAAAATAGCAATATGTTAATGATACTAATAGCTACTGTTTATTGAGCACTTATTATGTGTAAGGTGATGGGCTGAATGTTTTATGTACTAGTATCAGACAGGACAGCTATAGTAACAATCCCAAAATCTTAGTGGCTGAAAGCATCAAAGATTTGTTTCTCCCTGTTGCTGGGCCGGGGTGGAGAGGGCAGGCCTGCTTTATAAGTCCTTACTCGCGACCTGTCTCAGTCTTTGCTGGTGGCCGTAGCAGAGGAAAAGCAGGACATAAAGAATTATGCTCTGCCTCTCAGGGTTTCTGTCCAGAAGTGACACAAGGCACAGCCATTAGTCAAAGCAGTTTACATGGCAGTGTAGTCATGTATCGCATTTTGTATGGTGCATATTTTATAATGAGGTACCCGAGGCAGAGATTTAAAAACTAGCTCAGGTCACAGAGCCAGTTAGAGATAGATGTTATTGTCTGACATCGATCTCACTACTTACACTCTACGCTTGGTTTTCTCTGAAACGTAATAAAAGATCCTGGACTTATTATAATATTTTTTTAAAAAGAATAAAAAATAAATAAATAAATACCACTACCAGAGCAAAAAATAAAAATAAAAAATATCCTGGAAATGACTTAAAATATCCAAAATAATTCCTATGCCAGAGAATTGTGGACGTTCATTTACCACGTGTTTGAGGGCGGAGCTTTGAGATACAATGTTGTACAGATAGAAAACCAAAGGCACGAATAGATTTTTTTATGACTTGGAGCAGTGAAGTTAATGAACCAGTTTTACTTAATGTGTTCATATATAAGTTTTTTATTCCGTTATCTCTAAGTTGCAAGATAATGCAAAGTACTCTGAGTTTGAAGTGTCCTAGTAGATAAATCATAGGAAGCAAAATAAGGAAAGTTTCTGATAAGTTTCACTGTAAGCAGACATCCAGGAAAGCAGTTAATAATAATCCTGAAGTGATCAGTTATAACTAACTAAGACAATGGGATGAAGAAATTCGCTCAGTGTGATAACTGTGGCAGAGAATAATTTAAAAGTTTAACATTCTCCCTGGATTAAGAATAATATTGGAAATATCAATTAGATGCTAGATTAGGCTGTGAATGGCTGAGACACGAAAAATAGTGACAACACGTAAAGATTTTTTCTCTTAAGATTTCTCCTGTGTTTCTACTCCATCATGGTTTCCAACGTCTAGGTCACCTTGTGACCTAAGACGCCACTGAAGCATCTCTGCTTTGTTGCAGTCAATTGATTGAATTAACTCCCTACAAGCAACAAGGTTATCTCATACAGTGTGTCCCTTTGGGTCTCATGGTGTAGAATTTAATCACACCAGCTGCAAGGCAGGCTGGGAAACATCGTTCTTTTTATCTGGGTAGTGATGCTCCTAGCTGGCAACTGGGCTTGTGTGACTGAGGAAGGAGAAAGGAGAAGTAGTGGTAGGCAACCAGCAATCTCTGTATCCTGTGTCAGCAGGGTATTTGGCTCATTGACAATATCTGATAGACAGAGAATGAGGGTTTCTTTCCCCAATTAATTGTATTTTTATTTTTACCAATTTTAATTAATCAAAATGTAAATAGTCATACATGCCTACTGGCTACTATGTGGACAGTGCAGTGAGCTACAGATGTTCAAACGTATAGCAGGGACATTCTAGATCAGCGGTTGCCAACCAGTGGTCCATGAGGTCCGAAAGGTTGGCGACCGCTATTCTAGATGGCATGTCTGCATTGAAGGCAGAGCTGGACAAGATTACATCACCAAATCCCTTACAATTCAAATCCTCCATGTCTTTAGGTAATGAAAGTTGTAGCCTATGCAGTAATTTCTAATAAGATGAAATCTTAAATTATTACACTTTGGACCCCTAACCTTACCCTTGGGACCTTTGGGTCTGACCCATCCTCAACCTGTAGCTACTCATGAGGCCTTAGCTTCCTTTCCACCTCACATTGTCCTCTTCAGTATTTTCCCCTTCACTCCCATCTTTATTTCCCTTCACCACCATGGGTTTCTTTAATGGTACTTTGTCTGCCAAAGTACTCTGTAATTCCGACTGAACAGGATAAAGAGAGGAAATAAAAATTATCTAAGTAAACTCATCAGTATGGAACCCTGCATTTTCTTCTTATTTCAATAACATTTCAATCATAACTATCTAGATATTTATTCAGTTTTCTTTTCTATTTTCTTAACCAATAAACAGATGTTTAATTTTTGCTCACAAAGTAATATGTGTGTCTGTGTTAATATAATGAAACTGGAACTATGTCAAAGGGAGTGATGTGACATTGATAGATATGGATGGTCCAATACACATTTTTGAGAAAAGAGGGAGGTTTTATGAATCTAATATTTTTCTCAATGCCACCTTAGGATCTGAATTAGGGATCTGAAATGTGTTTCTATGCATGAAATAAAATTTATATCAGCAATAAAAATTAAATAATTTTAACTTTTAGAACCCCGGATATGCTGGGCGCCAGGAACTACCCGAGAACTTAAAAATTCAGTTTAGAACTGTTGCTATGATGGTTCCTGATAGACAGGTATGCATTGGGATTTAAAAACATAACATAACTTACATTTTTACTTGTTTTTCATGCACATTGTTGAAAATCTCACTATATTAATTTTCCAGATCATTATGCGAGTTAAACTTGCAAGCTGTGGTTTCCTTGAGAATGTTATCTTGGCTCAAAAGTTTTATGTTCTTTACAAACTGTGTGAGGAACAACTTACCAAGCAGGTAACTTTGTCCATTTATTCCCCCCCCCCCCCGCAACTATAGAACTTGATTTTTTACTTTGCAATTTTACCTTGATAAAATGCTATCCATTTTGAAAATCTCTTTGATTCTTTTCTAAAATAAATTTAATTACTTTGACCTGTTGGTTATGTATTTTGAATACCTGTTTATTTTTGAATATTTATAAATTCAACAAAAATTGCCAAGAAATGTACTAGGAGGTCCCATGTATTCATTACCCTACTTCCTTCAAAGTTGGCATCTTATAACCATAGTACAATAACAGACCCTGAAAATGGCCATAGGTAAAATCCAGAGTTCATTAAGGTTTCACTAGTTGATCATGCACTGTGTGTGTGTGTGTGTGTGTGTGTGTGTGTGTGTGTGTGTATTTATATGTTTTCTAAAATAAATTTAATTACTTTGACCTGTTGGTTATGTATTTTGAATACCTGTTTATTTTTGAATATTTATAAATTCAACAAAAATTGCCAAGAAATGTACTAGGAGGTCCCATGTATTCATTACCCTACTTCCTTCAAAGTTGGCATCTTATAACCATAGTACAATAACAGACCCTGAAAATGGCCATAGGTAAAATCCAGAGTTCATTAAGGTTTCACTAGTTGATCATGCACTGTGTGTGTGTGTGTGTGTGTGTGTGTGTGTGTGTGTGTGTGTGTAGTTCTATGCAATTATATCACATAGGTAGATTTGTATAACCACCACCACAATCAACATACAGAACTGTCCCATCACCACCAGGTTCCCTCATACTACCCCTCTATAGCCACAGCCTCCTCTCTCCCAAGTCCCTGTCCCCTTGCAGCCACCGATCTTTTCCCCACCTCTATCATTTTCTCTCAGAAACATTACATAAATGGAGTCACATAGTACATAACCTGTTGGTTATGCATTTTAAATCTGTTTGCCTCTGAGACTGTAATCAGACTGTCTTATTCTCCAAAGATATTTAAAAGTGTGGACACTATCATACAGCTTGATCTTTCCAATGGAAGGATCGTTTTTCAGTCAAAGGACAGGTGGAAGAATTCAGCTACTGAAACTTTGCAGCTCAGCCACTCCAAAGCTACAGTGCATATGGATCAGAATACCTACTATATGTATACAGTGGGTCTACATTGAGAGCTTTTCAATTGAATAATCTTTCCCCCTTCCCCCCCATCTTAGGTTCACTATGACTTCGGGTTGAGAAATATCCTATCTGTATTGAGGACCCTTGGATCTCAGAAAAGAGCCAGACCGGAAGACAGTGAATTAAGCATCGTCATGAGAGGACTAAGAGATATGAACCTTTCTAAACTGGTATCTTTCTTCTCTGACTTTACTCCTCTTTCAAGAATTTGACCTGGTTTCTTTCTACTTGGCTGATGTGTGTGTGTGTGTGTGTGTGTGTGTGTGTGTGTGTATGTGTGGGGGAGGGTGGGGTGGCGGGGGTGGCTCATGTTAGGCTGTGAACTTGAATACTTATAGCAACAGTGGGAGTGTGAACCTACCACTGTGCTTCCAGTTTGACCAGCGTGAGCTGGAAGTGCACCCCCTTGTCAGTTGTGTGCCCTCGAACAGGCCTCATCCGTGGGCTCCAGCCCCCAGGTTTCAGTCCAGTACTTGGCCATTATTCATAATGAAACATGTTCCCAACATGGAGACCTGGATTCACAGGGCACCACGAGACCTTTTGCTCTGTCTATGCTTAGCTTATCTCAGCTATGTCTGTCCCCAAACATCAACATCATTTCTGTTTTCCCAAAATGCATAGAAAGCTTGCTGTGGAGATGACAGCAGTTGTCACACTGCTTTCATTCTTGCCACCGGAGCCAGGTTGTTCTCAGCCAGCTGATGGACAGGTTCTCATGGTATTTATTCAAAGGACTCTCTCTGCTGCGTATTGTGCCCATGCCCTGGGAGACCAAGGTCGAGGAAGAACTGGCCCTCGGGAAGCTCACACTGCAGTTACAAAAACTAACACCGGGGTGGTTCATTGCCATCACAGCCTTTTCGGGGGGTATTGTCTGGTTTGTGTCTCACAGCCACTCTGTGGGACGTGGATGACCCGTGAGGGCACAGGACTCAGAGTCTGGAGAACCCGCCCGCAATCCCAGTCAGCTGAGAAGCTGGGACAAAAATCCACAAGACTTTCTGATGCCGAGTCCTCTGCTCCTTCCCTGGGATAATGGTATCCTTGAGACTCCTAGACAAGCACCCCAGAAAGCATCAGGGGTGCCCCAGAAAGTAAGGGGAGATCAGACGTGGTCAGCCGCTATGAGTGGGGTGATCTAGGCATTAAAGGTGTAGCTAAGAAGGTTTAGACTCAGTTTACTCAAACCTGCTGCTTAGGAGAAGTCAGAACTCGGATGATGGTTTTTCAGCCGATGTTGGATGGATGAGTCATGCATGGATATATCCTTATAGTGAAGAAATATTACTATTCTATTTTCATGGGGTAGGGACTGTTAACTGCACGTTTTACGTTGATGTGTATACCTGGCTGTGAGAAGCAGAGCATTCATATGACAAAGGGCTGAGGTGAAGTCACCTTGGAGCAGGAGACTGTGGAGGACGTCGAATCCCAGGGAACTTGGCTGCGATGCTGCAGGTAGCATGGCTTCAGTGGTGTGTTCGGGAGCGAGTACTGGAGGTGACAAGTCTGGTGAGGAGAGGACTAGCTTGTTCTAGGCATGAAGTGAGGGTGCTGTGTGTGTCCTAGCTGGTCGGTGCACATTTGTTGACGGAAGGAGTAAGTTTATTCTCTGCCATCGTAGGTTGATGAAGACGAACCCCTGTTCCTCAGCTTAATCAACGACCTGTTCCCAGGACTACAGCTGGACAGTAACACTTACGTGGAACTACAGGATGCGGTGGCCCGCCAGGTTCAGGCAGAAGGTCTGATAAACCACCCTCCCTGGAATCTCAAACTTGTGCAGGTAAAGAAATGCTAGTCTATTATCCGTATGATGAGAAGCGGGTGTTGTTGAAGGTCAGCATTTTAAGAGAAGAACTCATGATATTAGTCCTACTTGATGTAAAGTTGAAACTCAATATAACACATCCACGCAGGAAGAGGCCTCAGAGCGACGTGTTGGTCCGAGCGGGATGGGATGGGTTGACCATCGTCACAGCAAACAAGCAGCGGTTTACTGAGGTGCTTACACCTGGTGAGAAGGTTGGGCTGTGACCAGACTCGCAGGAGCAGTTGGGAGGGTGTGTTAAGTTAGACAAACTCAGGAAGATGCAATGGTCCAGGTGGCGGTATCGCCAGTGGCTGGGTGCCTCCCGGGGGCACGGAGCCTGAGGAGTCTGTTGGGTTAATCTGCGCCTGCTTTGTGTGTGGACATGTTCACACCCACACTCATACTCGAGTCTGGGTCTGCACCTCTTGGCGTCTTTGTGTGCATCGCATTGCACCGGCTGTGACAGCCGCTTGATCAGCAGCGGCACGAAGCCGGCGCAGAGGCAGGATGAAGCCTCCATGAGCTTCACGCTTTGGCGGGTATTCTCCGGGGCTTTTGGAATATGAAGGAGCTGAAACAGTGGAGAGTGTTAAAAACCGCATTTCAAAATGAAAACTCTTACGTTTTTATTATTGATTAAGGTATTACATATGTGTCCTTATCCTCCCATGGTCCCCCATCCCCCGAATCATGCCCGCACCCTCACCCCCTGTTGTCTGCGTCCATTGGTTATGCTTATATGCATGCATACAAGTCCTTTGGTTTAACTTAGTGTTTCTGCCAGATGATAAGAAGTGCAAGTGTATGAAACAGATCCAGATCTTGCAAGGAAATAGTTAACGTTTAAAAGTTTAAGTATTTGTTATCAGGTATGGGAAACCATTTACAACGCTTTTTCATTTCTGGGAAAACATCATTTTATGTCTGATATGGATACAGTATACTGAGCGCTGAAATCCCAGTCATCTCAGTAGGTGGGGGCTGGAATATTGTTTTTCTTTTTTATGTCAATAACATTACTCTTATGTGGAATGTTGTGGCCACTGCCTCAGTCGCTTTGAACTTATGGGTTAAGTAGTAATACATTTCTATTTAAATTTTAGGACAACGCAAATTCTACCTCTGATCAGCTGTGAGACCTCTGACTTATTTTTATTAACAACATCATGGACAGGATGTTGTCCCAGACACTGTCCACTTTTTAGTATGTCACCATTTTTGTGTAATTCTAGCACATTCACCCACACTCACCTCCCAGCTCTGGAGAACTGGAGGGGCATTGTTGCAGGCGCAGCAAGCTGCGTGCCAGGCCTGGGGTTTTATCGCCCCGTGCTCGGCTTCTCCCGTTCCTGT